AAATGAGGGTGGGCGGGGTGGGGGGGGGGGGGGGGGGGGAAGTAGAGTGGTTGTTAGGGAACCAAATGGCTTTTTGGAAAGTGCAGAAATACATATTGGGAACATGAGTTACTATCAACAAGTGAACAAGTGCTGCTGGAAACAAATTTAACCGTAGTCATCAAGGATTTGAATGGCTGATGTTTTTTTCTGCATTATAAATTTATCCTTATGATGCATGCATAATGCAGTCTCATATCTAAAAAACAAAAATAGCTTAATGCACACAAGATGTTTTTTGAGAATTGCCAGTTGATGGTTATAGCAGTAGAGTTCAGTACAAGTTGGCAAAACTGTCCAAGAACTAGAGCTAATACACAGGCAAGGTAAGTATCATGTTATACTGTGCTAGCAGTGTCCACATTAGTTTAAGCCTTCCTCAGGCATATTTGTAGAAGCTGCTGTCATTACAGCGACATGCCTTTCATGAATTAAATCCATTTGTAATGTTTTAGTAGAAACCAATGCTTTTGGCAAAGTTTTTCCTTTTATGCAGCTTTAGGAGTCAGCATTTCTAGAAGATGGTTCTGAATATCTTCAAATGAGATTTAATTTAGCATCCATAACTTGAGATAACTTGCTCTAAGGCTGTGTTTCAGTCTAATGATGCACTGCAGCAGATTTCTAAGTGATAGGATCTGACCCTTGGGATCTCCATTTGTCAAAAATCATTTATTTCAAAGGTGTCGTTAACCCTTAGAGATGAGAATTTTGTCTAATGGGCCATCCTTTGTCATCAAAGTCTATGGAAGTTTTGTAACTATGCAGTAAAAAAGGAGCCTTCAGCAGGAATTGAAGTAGTTACTCAGAGTAAATTAATTTCTATACATACAGCAGATCAAAACAACAAAAGTTACTCACACAAACCTGGCCAAGATCTTGATCTCACTGAGTAGTTATAGGGCAAGTTCAGAGTTGCAGAAAGGATGCTGACAATCTTGGGATGCGTCAGTCATTTTTGTTTGTTCAAGGCCTCTCTTCTTTAAACCTATAACTGCTGCAGGCTTAGGCTCTCAGCCTAGGAAGAATAATATATAGTGAAGCTTTGCTGTAACTCAAGATCATATTCTGGTGACAGGTAGGTTGCTGTACCTGTCTGACTCAGCAGATTAGTCTCTTAGAGAATTAACCACCTGATAAGATAGGTTGGAGTCTGGCTTCTCAAACATATCAAAGTAGTAGATTAGCTTAGTATGTGGAACTGCATCATCAGTTGGCCCCACCATTATAGTAGCCTGTCTGTGGCTGTCTTCACTCCCTTAGTTGTACTGGCACTGGTGCTCAGTGGATTCTTTGTGGTTTAAACCCGCTCAGACTGGCCAAAACCAAATTGCACAAGTTTTCAAAGAGTTTTTCCATGCACCAGCTCAACATGATCAGGTGAGTTCTGATGCAAGGAAGAATT